AGAACCGACTGAGAGCTATGGCCACTGCTACAGAGGGAGGGCCAGGTGCTGCGCCTGACCTGGAGACAAGGGGGAGACAAAGCCACAGGATCTACTTGTTTTCCCACACACGAGAAAAACACTTTTTCTAAAGCATGGCTCCTTTGGACCCACATGAACCCTATGTCTCCTTACTGAGGAGGTCATGAAAGCCAGCTTAGAAGCAAGACAGGCCAGGCTGCTCAGCCTACAAGCTCAGGATGAGGGTGGTGAGCAGGGCTGGGGCCATGTCACCCACCCACATTTCATTACCAAAGCAACATGCTTATAAGTAGTTCCTGTGGCTTCAGCCCATGAGCCAGGAAGTCATTGTTTGATTCCCGGTCAGGGCACATGCCTGGTTTGTGGGCTAGGAGGCAGCCGAACAATGATTCTCTCTCATCATTGATGTTTCTATCTCTCCCCCTCCCTTCCTCTCTGAAATCAATAAAAGTATATTTTTTAAAAAGAATTACTTGCAAATTCACATGTAGCTGTGGATAAACAGCCTGCTGGCTTCAAGCAATGATTTTCACCTGTGTGGCTGCATGAATTCCTAACACATGCCATGCTGACTCTTTAGCCAGGGGCACTGACCTCATTTCCCTTTGACTGTCCCGTAAAACAATCACAACAACCAACACAGCAATAGCTGCCTGCTGTGCATGACTCAAAACTATGCCTACTTTTTGTCAGATTGGGCAAATATACATGTCTTGGTGTGCTGTGGAGGTTGAGTGGTGAGTGTGTGTGCTGTGAGATGGAAAAGGTTGAAAATCACTGGCCTAAAGGACTGCAGGAGCCACCCTCAAAGGAAGCTGACTCCAGCCTGCAGGCGTTTCGGGTCCATAGGGTTTGATCACCTTGGAGGAAAGCCAGAGCCTCCTGGACCAGGTCCCAGGTGGTTCCCTGAGCAGACGGTGCTGACTGGCACCCAGCACCCTCTGCTTCCCCTGGTTTGCCTTCCTCTTCCCGCTATTACACCCCTGCTGCCCTCACATTTTAGGAGGGTCCTTGTGCCCTGGCCAGTGGCTCAGCTGCTTGGAGCCTGATCCTGTGGACCTAAGGTTGTGGTCTGATTCCCAGGCCAGGTACATACCTGGGTGGCAGTTCCCATCCCTGACTGGGGCACATATGGACGGTGGCTGATTGATGTTTCTCTCTTTTTTCTCTAAAATCAATGGAAACATGTCCTGGGTTGAGGATTGAAAAACAAAAATGTAAAGATGATCTTTGTGGTGAGAATCCCCCACCTTCTCAAGCTGCTGGCTCTTGAATAAACCTGCTTTCCTCCATCATACCCTGTCCCTTGAGTACTGGCTTTTGAGCAGCAGCAGCTGAACCTGGGTTGGTGTCCCCAGGACATTGTTCTGTCGAATGTGAAGCCTCTGTGCCTGGTGTGTTCACAAGGGGCGTCTTCTTCGCATTGGGATGTCTTTCCATGTCATTGGCTCAGTGTTAGTAGCGGTCAGACAGACGTAATGGAATCCGATGATTTAACCGTCTTTAATTGTGCAGCACAGTGGCATTGAGGGCATTCACATTGTTGCAGCCTTCATCACTGTTCATCTCCAGAACTTTCCATCTTCCAAAGAGCAACTCTGTGCTTATTAAACACTCACTCCCCCTCGTCCGGGCCCTGGCCACTACCATTCCACTTTTTGTCTCTGACTTTGATGACTCCAGGAACGTCATCTATGTGGAATTCTATGGCATTTGTGCTTCGGTGCCTGGCTTATTTCACTCTGCATGATTCCTCTTGGTTGATCAGTGTTGTAGCACGGGTCAGAACTTCCCTCTTTCCAAGGCTGAATAGTATTTCTAGGCGGATAGGGGAGGCATGGTCACACGGGACCCTGGGGCTCAGTCACAGATCACTTAGCTGACAAGACAGCAGGTCCTTTCACGTGACAACACTCCAAGGACCAGCTTCCACGATGGGGTCACTTCTCCTTCAGCACCTGCCCCATCGAGTCACCCTGACAGAATTCCTCCTGGGCCCTGGCTGCTGCCCAGGCCACATTAACCCCTTCTGACTGGCTCAGAAACTGCTGTTGGCGAGGGGCCTTTTCAGCACAGGGTCCGTGCACCAGGCCCGTAGGGTTGCATGGTCTCTCTCCTTCTCTGTGACTTGCTCTTTCTGTACCCTGGTACTATGGGACGGCCGGGAGACCAGGTCACCTGTCCCGGAGAATGCCTACTGTTCTGGGGTTGACCGATTGCGCCCCTGAGCTGTAGTTTTTCTTGTTCCTCTATCGTCTGTATTTCTGTAAAGTGTTAGACCTAGAGACTCGATGAGTTTCAGGTTCAGCCAGACTTGGGGCCAGACTTTCCTGGGTGGTCCTGGGTGCGTCCCACTACATCCCACAGGGATGCACCCTGAGTGGGGACAAGCCTGGTCTCAGAGCTGGGCTGGGGCCAGCCCCTACCCTCTATTTTCCAATCCCCCTCACTCCTCCTGGGGCTCCTCACCTAAGGGAGTTTTGCTTTGTTTTTGTTAATCCTCACCAGAGGCTATTTTTCCATTGATTTTCTTTGTAGAGAGAGTGGAAAGGAGGGAGGGGGGAGAGAGAGAGAGAGAGAGAGAGAGAAGGAGGAGAGACAGATGTGAGAGAGACACATCAATTGGTTGCCTCTCCCACCCACCCAGACCTGGGCCAGCTAACCCAGGAACGTACTTGTCCTTGGCTGGGAATCGAACCCATGACCCTTTGTTGTGAGGTCCAATGCTCACCAGGGTTTTAAAGCAACCACTGAGCACTGTTTGGGGTCTGTGATGTCACTTAGGGGTGTTCTCATCCCACCTCCCCTGCTTCCTCCATCAGCTGGGAGTTTCTATAAGGAAGGTGTGTCCTTCATGCAGCTATTGTTTACTGGGGTGAGGGCATCTAGAGGTTGATAGCGTGCCTGCTGTTTCCTCACATGACAGAGTGGTCCCAGGATTGCTTAGCTTTTTAAATTTTTTCCAATTAAAAATTATTTTATTAAAATTGTTTTCAATTACAGTTTACATCCAATATTATTCTGTATTCGTGTCAGGTGTACAGCATAGTGGTTAGACAACCCTTCCTTTACACTAGTCCCCGATATGTGCAGCCCCCGCCTGGCACTGTCCATAGGACTCCGGAGCTTTCCCAGGGCAGGGAGAGGCCCTGGAGACCTCATGGGGTAGCTCAGTCACCGAGGCTGCCCGAGGGCAGGTGAATTGCCAACTCCCAAACTGGCATTTCCTCTCTGCCTCCTGACCCAACAGAGGGTGCTATGTCTAAACTGACCAGGAGGGCTGGGTGAGGGCAAACATCTGTACGACATGGAAGTTCATTCGTGTTTATGACTTAGCGATGCCGAGGGGGTGATGGGGGTCTGTGGTGGGCCGTCAGCTCTGGACATGGATGGGAAGGAGGCTGTCTGCAGGCTGGTTGGTGCAGGAGGCAGGCCATGAGGAGCGGTGCAGCAGGTGTGCTCTGAGGGACGTGGAACAGGAGGTGTGAGTGTGGGAGGGTCCACAGTCTTCCTGCGGGAGCACAGATGTTAGGCCTGGAGAGTGAAATGGAAGAGGAGTGGCTTTATGTATTTACTAGAGGCCCACTGCAGGAGATTCGTGCCCTGGGGGCCGGGGGTGGGGCATCCCTCAGCCCGGCCTGCACCCTCTCCAATCCGGGACCCCTTAGGGGATGTCAGACTGCAGTTAGGCCCAATGCCTGCGATTGGGTCTAAACTGGCAGTGGGACATCCCTGTCACAATCTGGGACCACTGAACCCTAGCCAGTTGCCTGCCTGTCGGCCTGATCCCTAACTGCCTTCCCCTGCTGGCCTGATCCCCCTAACTGCTCCCCACTGTCGGCCTGATCCCCCTAACTGTTCTCTTCTGCCGGTCTGCTCACCCCTAACTGCCTCTGCCTTTGCCCGGCCTTCATGGCTTTGTCCTGAAGGATGTCTGGTCTAATTAGCATATTACCCTTTTATTAGTACAGATGTTATTTTATTATTTTTTAAAAATATATTTTTCAGAGAGGAAGAGAGGGAGATATAGAAACTTCAGTGATGAGAGAGAATCATTGATGGGCTGCCTCCTGCATATCACAAACTGGGGATCAAGGCCACAACCTGGGCATGTGCCCTGACCAGCAATTGAATAGTGACCTCCTGGTTCATAGGTCGATGCTCAACCACTGCACCCCGCTGGCTGGGCAGAAGAGGAGTGGTTTTATAGTCCCACTGGAGGCCTTCAAAAGCCAAGCGTGGCCAATCTACTGCCCCCGGCCCAGCATGCTACGCGCTCTGGATTTGGGCTGAGATCCTGCTGGGCCCAGGAGGGCAGGCGGTGGTGTCGTTTGCCCCTGGTCAGGTACTCTTGATTGCGCGTGGACCCTCTGCACCTCTCACACGTTGGTTTGGTAATGAAGTGAGGAGGAGGTGACATGGCTGTGGCCCTCATTCTCTCCCCCTCCCCACCTTCCAGAGCTTTCAGCTTGTGTGGCCTGGCCGGTCTTACTTCTTTTTATATTTTTAAAATCTTTTATTGTTGAAAGTATTACATACGTCCCCTATTTTCCCCCATTAACCCCATACCCCGACCCCAGGCCCTCACCACCCCATTATCTGTGTCCATGGGCCATGCATATCTGCATACAAGGTCCTTGGTTGATTATCTCCCACCCACCCAGCCTCCCCCACCTTCCCGCCGAGATTCTGCACTCTACTCCATGCTTCCATGTCTCTGGATCCACTTCGTTCATCAGTTTATTTTGTTCACCAGACTCCACCTATGAGTGAGATCATGTGATGCTTGTCTTGCTCTGACTGGCTCAACTCACTTAGCAGGATTGTGTTGTTTGTAACCTTGCTTTCCTAATGTCTTCCGAAAGGAGACAGAGGGTTCATGTGGGTCCTCAGAGCCATGCTTAAAAAAGGTTTTCTTTTAGGAAAACAACACTTACAAGTAGTTCTTGTCCTTTGTCGCCCCTGAGGCTCCAGCTCAGATGCAGCACTTGGCCTTCCCTCTGTAGCAGTAGCCCTTGACTTGGGTGTAGAGCGGGCACGGGGAGAAGTTGCAGGTCCCCCCCTGCTTGGCGCATGTGTATTCTGGACTCCTGTGTAACAGACTCGCAAGGAGGCCAGCACCTGTGAGGAGGCAAAGAAGACAACGTGACTGCAGGACGCTTGGTGACACAGGACACACAGCCCTTCAGCAGAGCACTGCAGAGACGGTGCCCTCCCAGGAATTCCCCCTCACTGACCTCGGCAGCTCATGCAAAGTCCTGTCCCCTCCATCTGAGGTCTGTCCCCTCCATCTAAGGTCTGTGCCCTTCTTCTGAGGTCTGTGCCCTCTGAGGTCTATGCCCTCCGTCTGAGGTCTGTGCCCTCCGTCTGAGGTTGGTGCCCCACTGTGGCTAAACCAAAGCTGAGGATGAGCAGCAGGGCTGTGAGTGGGGGTTTTTTCTGCCCTGACAGCTGTGCAGAGCACCCAGTTCGTCCCCAAATAAGGTTCCTCTACATCACACTGTTGCCAGAACACACATGCTCTATTCCACAAATACTTGTATCTGTTTAAGAAATGATCTGTACTGAGGATATATTTACTGATTTTTAGAGTGAGAGGAAGGGAGAGACAGAGAGAGAGAAAACATATCTGTGAGAGAGAAACATCAATCTGTTGCCTCCTGGACACACCTTAAGTGAGGATAGAACTGGAAACCTATATGTGCCCTGACTGGGAATTGAACCCACAACCTTTCCATGGATGGGAGGATGCTCCAACCAAGTAGGCCACTCAGCCAGGGCTACTTGTGTCTTTAAAAAAACCCACAAAAACAACCTCACAAATTTCAATTCTTATTTTGCGCATTCATGATCCAAATTGCGCCACCTTTGGTCAATGTATTAGTTTATTCACCATTAGATTCCTACAGGACGTATTAATCCACTTGTTTCTAAACCAACATGGTCATTTTCTAGTGGGACTTTTCTGTCCATGCGCACGTTTTGTGTTCATGCTTAAGTGTCTCTCTAACCAGTGAGCACAGCTTAACCTCTCCCACTGTGTGCTACGCGTTCACGTGATCCTGGCAGGCCCTCCCCGCCCCCTCCCCCCCTGCTGCCGGGATCTGCCCTTCAGTGCCAGGTGGAAATGATGGCTACCCCATGAACTTCCATTGTTTTCTTTCTTTCTTCTTTCTTTCTTCTTTCTTTCTTCCTTCCTTTCTTTCTTTCTTTCTTTCTTTCTTTCTTTCTTTCTTTCTTTCTTCCTTCCTTCCTTCCTTCCTTCCTCCTTCCTTCCTTCCTTCCTTCCTTCCTTCCTTCCTTCCTTCCTTCCTTCCTTCTTTTTCTTTCTTTCCTCTTTCTTTCTGAATAAATAAAAGCAAAAGGATAAAATATTTATTTATTCATTTTTTCTTTCTTATCAATGAATTAAGAAGGAATTTATTAGGGAGAGATTGACTAATGAAATTGGACAGGATTCAGGTAGCATTTTCAACAAGACATCATCTGTGTAGTGTGATGTATTCATTGCTTTCCCCGGTTGGAATTTATTCTGCCTTTCCTCACAGAAGCAGAGACTCTCCTAATCATAGTCCCTGAACTGCTGCCAACTGTCTCAGGAGAGAATGAAGCCGCCCTACGGGGTCCCTGGGGAGTAGCTCTCAGCCATTGCTTGCTCTGATAGCGTCCTAGGATGAATTGTGCAGCCTCAAGCCCACATGCTGAAG